AGGTCTGAAAGTGCTAATTTGGGAATGAAGAACGATGTTATAATGTTTTCCTTTAGTATGAGATGTTCATGAACTTGTTCTACATGATATTAAGTGTATTATAAAGCTATTATACAAGTTAAGCTATTGGAGTAAAAATGGATTAATGGATCAAAATAGATAGCCCAGAAATAGGTGTAATTGTATGCATGTATCTATTTATCAAATTAATAATTAATAAAGAAAATATCAAAGGGGATGATTGGAGTGTTCATTAAATTCAGTTGAGAAAAATTGGTTGTTTGAAAAAAGCAAATTTTCTGTACATCAAAATAAACTGCAAATTAATTAAAAATCTGAATTTAAATATTGAATGCATAAGAAATCTGGAATAAAATGAAGGTAAATATTTACTTGACTTCTAGATGAGAAAGTTTTATCCAAACAAAAATAATAGAAAGAATAAGAAAGGAAATGATCAATGCATTTTATTTAATATAATGTAAAAATTTTGAATTTCAGATATAAAATTTAAAGCATATAACAAACAAGGGAAATATTTGCAATAATAGGAAATGTTAGTGAATTTTCCTTATGTGTAAAGAATCTCAATAGGTAATAATAAAATACCTGTTTTACCTTTAGGTATATACGAGTACATAACATGTACATATGTATTTAAACTTATAATACTCAATACCAGCTAGTGTATGCTGCACTGCCAGTCTATTGCTGGGATTGTAATTGTTGCAATATTTTGAAAAGCAACTTGGTGATTGTATCATTAGCTTTGAAAATACTCATGGTCTTTGATCTAGAGAATGAGTTTATCCTGTGGAAATAATTCAGAGATGAGCCAAAAACATATGCATGACATTTGTTCATTAGAGTATTACTTTCAATAATTTAAAAAAACTGGGAGAAAATCTACAATCCCCCCCAATATTTCCACATGGTGTAACAGTCTATCACCATTAAAATATACTTTGGAAGAACATTTGGAAACTGCACGTGTAGCAAAGTGAAAACTTAAATGTGGAACACAAATCCTATATGAAACATGTACAATTATGTGAAAGAGTAAGTAAAAAGCCTGAAGGTAATTTGGTCAAGATAACTGATATATTCATCTACCACCGTTATTACCCAAGATTACTTGAAATGACTAAACAAAATACATACACTAAATTCAAAATATTGGGGAAAGAATGCCACTAGTATCTCTAGAAGAAGTGAGGAATTTCTGGAAAAAAAAAATGCAAAGATAGGAAGGGTATGAGAAGACACATGGAAAACATTCACAAAGTCCAGCATCCACCTGAAGGGCATTTTATTGTAAGAGAACACAGAAAAATAAGAGGAAGAAAATCATCAAGGATATAAGAGGAAAAAATTCCCAGAGCTGAAGAAAGACTTTCCAAACATGGTGAATTAAATACATTCAGCTTTTTGTATGTCAATCATACCTCAATCAAGCAGTTTTTTAAAAAGTTTGTCTGGGGCCAGCCCGGTGGTGCACTCGGTAGAGTGCGGTGCTTGGGAGTGCTGCGGCGCTCCCGCCGAGGGTTTGGATCTCATAAAGAGACCGATCTGCTCACTGGTTGAGCGCGGTGAGGGCGAGACACTGAGGGTTGCGATCCCATTACTGGTCATGAAAAAAGATAAAAAGGAAAAAAAAAAAAAAGTTTGTCTGACCATCCCCCACGAAATAAAACAAATAAATTGCAATTTCTAACTCTGTCCACCAAAAAGAACCAGAAAAAACAACCAGTGTTGCAGCAATGAGTGTCCTAGAGCTTGGATTATGGTTTGCATGTACCATCTCCCTCTACTCCCAACAAAAGAAATGACTGGTTTCACTCATTACAGCTCTGTCAGGAAATGTACAAGACTAGCCTGTAACATCTCTTCCTGCCAGAAAACAACTAAGTTATCAAAGATTGTAGAAGTCATGACAAAGGAATCAGAAGCCAGCTTAAAGGGGCTCCGTCTTGTCAAGGGTAGAAAAATTCAAATATTGAAAATAACGGTCACTGCAAAGATTACAGCCCATCAAATGTTTCAATATTCATAAATTCACAGCGCTTTTTAAAGTTCATTGGTCACCTCTGCAGAGTTCTAGGAACCAACTCATTAATCCAAAAACTGAGAAATAAGGAAAGAAGCAGGTATCCAGACTTTCTTATGTGAATTTTTTCTCAAGGCGACAAATTAATTGATGCTAATAAATGTAGAAGGCATGGTAGAATTAGA